CTCTAATTGAGAAGACAATGATCTTTATACCCGAGGGAAATTGAGTTTACGCTATTATATAGATTTTGATGATATATCAGAATTTCTCCGTACCGAAATCATGATTACTCCATCGCGTGCAGTAAACGTACTATTTATACAATTCGCGTACAAAAAAGGCGGCAGTTGTACCTTTCGTTAAACATTCAAGTGGACAAAGAGCAATAGTGAGAAGAAGAAGAAGAAGGAGAAGAAAAAGAAGAAGAAGAAGAAGAAGAAGAAGAAGAAGAAGAAGAAGAAGAAGAAGAAAAAGAAGAAGAAGAAGAAGAAAAAGGAGAAAACATCTGAAGCTGGTTTATTTTGCAAAATTACGAAAGAGAGTCCTCAAATCAACTGCATCACACAAACATCATGCTTCACCGTTCCTGTTGCAAAGCAGACCATTGATTTCAAGACCCTAGCCATCAACTTGTATTTAGAAGCAATATGAATGCAAGTAACCTTTGATCTAAAAAAAAAAAAAAACAGGAAAAAGGAAAAATAAAAAAAAAGACTGGATAGCACTTAAAACTTACACCAGAGGAAAGTCGGCCGAAGGACGTCGAATTAGCCAAATGTTCAATACTTGTCAGGGAAGCGAATTTAAAACTGAAATTTTCTCACTCTTAGTCAATCTTTCCAATCAAATGATTGAACGATCGAGTCGAAAAATCGATTTGTGCCGAAATCGGAAGGAAAGGAAGTTATAGGGCATTACAGGCCCATAGGAGCGTAAAAATTCCACTGCGTCAAACAACTGACCGTTCTATATTGAAAGCCAACATAGAAAGATATTTTAGAACTTCTGGAGATCGACTTCTCTTCTTTACGACTGATAATACAGAGTGGGTTTTTGGAAAGTTCCTGCTGTTCGCAAGATTAAGAGTCGCATACAAAATTCATGGGTTGGTACAAACCTAAGCATCTTGAAATTCGTGTGCATTAATGAGCTTTAAATGACATGAACGAGAAGTCTTATATTTGAAAAAGGGAATATCAGATCTGAGCACCGAAAGTCTCCTTAAGATACAAATTATATACCCAGCAGCCAGATTTTACCTACCTATTCCTCGTCAAATGCCTCTCATTGTAATTTCTATGTTGTTTTTCGGGGTTTAATTTCCATTCCGGCTTAAACGTGTGCGAAGGAAAATAATGTTTTTTTAGGAGCAGACATTTCACTTCCGCAGTAACGAAAGACGAGATAAGAAATACTTTTTTAGGGAAAACCTTCGTTCGAGAAGGTTCATGTTCGTGAGAAGTGCGTATAGTCTTGAGGCTGATTTTGTAATAGACCTTGACTTCAAATATGGGATTTGTGATTTAATGGTAAAAATGTCGTTAATCTTTTATTAACCGGAATCTGAGACGGTTTAGATTTGGTTTCATGTAGTCTGCCTTAAATCCTATTTATAGGTATTTTAGGGTAGTCATCCGTATCACATCTGGGGTGAATAAATTATTGATTTCCTTTCGTTCCATGAATAACTAGGAATAATGCGAATATGTCTCTTTTGTCTCAGTAAGTAATTCCAAGGAGTAGGAGCGATATAACAGTCTTGTCAGTCTAAGATGAAGATGGTTTTGTTCTTCGTATGTACTTTGTATGTATGCAGCCATACGCAGCCGAAGAAAAAAAAAAAAAAAAAAACTTTGCAGAAATTGTGGTGGCAAGCTTTTATAGACTAACAGGACTCTATCTACTTGAGAGGAGTGCGTGCTCGTATGTTTTCTCCGAATATCCTCTTGTCTCTGTCTGGTACTTCCTGCGCGCATCGTAGGAGACATCAGTAATGGTATCAATATCATTAAAAATGTCGCATCATGACGATATCCCCATAAAATGCTTATTGTGAAATATTTAAGAGAGTAAGCGAATGTAAAGACGGTTTCGACGTCATTTCAGATATTTTGCAACACTCTCAAAAAAACTCAAGTATAAAAGCAAAAGATCATTTTTGCAAAATTTGTATTTTTAATCTGATTGATTGATCGACATATCGATCTCCACTTCAATTTCCGAAATAAAGATAACAAGTACTCATGACAACAAACATTACTACAGAGCTAGTAATTCGAATAATTAAATTCGATCGCGCAAACAGGAATTATAATGATCCTTAGCTTACTTGTACGCTTACGGCGTCAGCGAACAAAGGGTTCAAGACTGACACTTTCCTCCGCGATTAATTGCAAATTTCCTGTCCAACGAAGTCACGAATTTTGCGAGAAAAGAAAGATCTTTAACTCAGGAGCTCTAAATGAAAAACAAAGTTATTGAAAGACATTCGATTTAGAAAGCAATGAAAAATGACGAAAAGAGCTCTCGATCGATCAATACAAAAATTTCCAAACGCGATACCAATGGCTTAAAATTGAAAGATGAATCAGTTTGCTGACTTGAGTGGGGCATAGCGATTGCAGACCATTCTTTGGCTTGGAAAATAAAAGTTTTAAGCGTTGATTTGTCTTTTAGGTATTGCGCAACAGAATACTTTGATTTAAACTTACAATTTTCCCAATTTTCAAGACAACGCAAAGCAATCTAGTAGACGTCGATGAAGAACGGTGAATCGAATTTTTTGCTTCCAAAAAGCATACTTAGTACTTTTTTAATGTAGCATTTTGTCTTGAAATATCTCTTCGTCATTTGTACCTTGCTTTTTGGTTGTTTTTTTTTGTTTTTTTTTTTTCAGTTAACACGCAACGCCTTTGAAAGATTTCAAAGTCAACGACTTTGAAATTTGCAGGCAAATTATGCTCTGGAATCTTCGTCTAAATTTTATTTCTGATTACATTTTGACTAAATTGGTTTCGAAACCAAAGTACGTTAAATGCTGTAAGAAAAATACTTCCGAAAGAAACGGTAAACTGCGTTCGAGTTTCAGGTCATCGAGAAATGAAAACGTTGTATATTTTGTGAAACTGAGCGAAGGAAGTGACTTAAGACAACCCCCGTTTAAAAAGTCCTGAACTTAAGTTCATGCCTCAAGTGTGCGAATTACGAGTAACAAACTTAATGAAAAAAAATGTTTTCTTCGACGTTTTAAACGTTTAAAATAATTGAGAGGCGTTCAGCTCATTACCAATAGTTTTGCTGCATGGTAGCGAGAGAAAGAAACCAATCTTATGGTTGCTAGAACGGATTTCATAAATGAGCTTTGGTAACTAAAATCCAGGGAGAGCGAATAAAATTTTCATCCCAAAATGTTGAGGGTAAGTGGCAATTCTTTTTTCTGTTAAGGCCATTCTTTTTGGAGGAAATAAAACCTTAAGGTAGGTGACATGCCTTTCACTTACCTGTATGATGCTACTAAACATGAGAGCTGTGGCACTCAGGTCATCACATCTTTCTTCAAAACCGTAACAACTTTCATGGGATGTGAAAGAGATCAGTGGTCTTTGCATAACGTTTCTTTAGGATAACTTCTGAATGAAACTGCCAACTGATTGCAATTAGAACGATTTTAATTCAGCGTCACTTTTCCACCGTGCATGCTACGAAGTACCGCTACTAATAAAGTTAAAACGAGCTTGTAAAACTGACAATCTTCTAAGTAAGGACCCGATGACGATAAATTTCTCCTCTTACATTAGTTTGGCGATAAGTTGTCGGTCGGGAAAGTGACTCTTTACTCCGTTGGGTGATTAATTGGAATCTACTTTACTGAGCCAACAATGTGGGGAAACTTTGATTATTCAGACCACTTGTTTGGCCTAAAAGACAGGCAGAAATCTGTCACCCATTTCCTTATACTGGCGATCTGCAGCAACTGAACTTTGGTCGAAGCAAAAGAAAGGTGACAGGACTCACTTTCACTTGCCTATAATGCTCCACAATATAATCAGGAAAGTTGTTACTCAATGTCCAAAGTAGACTTTTACTTTAAATCGAAATTGCACCTCGGTTATACGAACACTGCATCACATTCGAAGACTGATCTTTACACACGCAGGATATTGAAATTACGCTATTATATAGATTTTGATGATATATCGGAATTTCTCCTGTATGGAAATCATGATTTCTCCACCGCGCGCAGTAAACTTATTTTTTATACAATTCACATACAAAAAACGGGGCAGTTTTACCTTTCGCTAAACATTCAAGTTTGTCGAGAAAAAACTTGGAGCCAAATTAGCTTGAGAAACATGATATGTAAAATACTCCTTTTGGAGAGATGAGAGAAGAAACCATAGAGGAATTGAGAAGAAGAAGAAGAAGAAGAAGAAGAAGAAGAAGAAGAAGAAGAAGAAGAAGAAGAAGAAGAAGAAGAAGAACGAAGAAGAAGAACGAAGAAGAAGAAGAAAGAAGAGAATCCTCAAATCAACTACATCAAACAAACATCACGGTCCGTCGTTTCTGTTACAAAAAAAAAGTAGCGATTTCAAGGCTGAAGCCATCAACTCGTACTTAGAAGCAACATGGACGCAAGTAACCTTAGATCAGCCGAAATTCGGCCAAAAGGACGTTGAATCATGCAAATGTTGTATACTTGTTAGGGAAGCGAATTTAAAACCGCAAATTTGCTGACTCTAAGACGATCATAGAAAAATCGATTAGTGCCGAGCTCGAAAAAAAGAAAAGAAAAAACAGTTATAGGGCATCACAGGCCCCTAAGAGCATAAAAAATTCGACTGCGTCAGACAACCTGACTGCTATGTTGAAAGCCGTCATCGAGAGATATTCCAAAACTTCTAGAATTCGACCTCTGTTCCTTGCGATTCATAATGCAGAGTGGGCCTTTGGAAAGTTCTTGCTGTTTTCAAGATTAAGAGTCGCATACAAAATTCATGGATTAGGAGTTGGAACAACTCTCAGCATCTTCAAATTCATGCGCTTTAGTGAGCTTTAAATGACGCGAATGAGCAGAAAGTCTTATATTTGAATAAGAAAATGTCAAATGTAAGCATTGCGTCAGTTTTTGAAGAGAGTTTCTTTAAGATGCGAACTATAAACCAAACAGCCAGATTCCACATACCTATTTCTTGTCGAATGCCTCTCATTGTAATTCGTTTGGTGTTGTATGCAGTGTTACTGAGAGACACTGCCAAAAAATAAAATTTTTGATCACGACTGAAACGAAAATTGAGCAACTCTACAAAAAATGTGTGGTTGCAAGGTTTTGTCTAAACTGATTGAACTTAACCCTACCCAGAGCTTTCTATACCCGACAGAGCTGCGAAGACATATGTTCTGTGCTATGTTCAGAGTCAAGTACTTCCGTTCTTGCCAGAGACAATATAATACTAATCGTATTAATTTTATCGTGACGAGCCACCGACTATATTGGTTACTGTTTTAGCTATCCTTTGGTAACTTACATTCAGGAATGCTCTAAACGCGGTTAAAGTTGCACGAGATACATTTGAGGGTTTACTCTCCATTCTTAAACGTTGGAAAGGGAAACTAATGTTTTGTTGGAGCAGACATTTCACTTCCGCAGCAATGAAAGACGATATACTTAACTGGATAACAACAAATTTTAGGGTCAGGCAACCTTCGTTCGAGAACGTTCAAGTTCGTGAGAACTGCGTAGATATAGCCTCGAGGCTGAATTTGTTATTGGCTGCGACCTCAAACATGGGATTTGTGATTTATGGTGAAAAATTTTTTAATCTTCCATTCACCGGAATCTGAATAATTAGTGAATAATTAGACTTGATTCCATGTAGTCGGGCTTAATTCCTATTTATAGGTATTTTAGGGCAGTCATTGCGTATCGCATCTACGGTGTACAGATTATTGAATTCCTTTCGTCTGTTGCATAAATATCTAGGGATATTGTCGTCGAAATATATCCCTTCTGTTTCAGTAAGTTATTACAATCGGCAGGAGTGATATAACAGTCTTGTCAGTTTAAGATGAACCCAAGAAGGCGGATGATATTGCGATAAGTGCACTTAACTAGGCCGAGGAAAAAGATTGAATGAAGGTAATTTTTATTGTTAAATATTTACAACTGTTTAATATCTTAGTGTTTTCATTCCAAATGCGTAACTGGCCTAAAAACGATTGCTTTCCTTTCCTCAGTTGTGTGAATAACTATGACACTCCAATGCAAAATGAGAGCGCCCGCTTTCCAATCTCGCCTGAATTTTAATCCACTTAAAAGTGAGTTGGCAAAGTTCAATGCAATTTTTATTAGGGTGAAGCCACAAATTGAACTAGTCTACAATTTTTTTTCCGCTAATGAGAGGGAATTTTCGGCCAGTAATATGATTAGGTCGGCAATCGGAAACGAAACGGATGGTCTGATTTAATCGCAACCGCAAAAAAAAAAAAAAAAAAAAAAAAAATTGAAACAGAGCGAAAGAAATGATAAGAGAAAGAAAACGAACATGAAACAACACACCACACGAAAAAAAAAAAAATTAAAATAAACAAATATAAATTGGTTAAAAGCGTTTCATGATCTCAAATAATCTCAAAGCTTTTATTTTTAAAATTTTCCACCAGCGTGACATTTCCTTCCCCTGAACTTTAAAAATTGCAGCGTATTCTGTTACTTACTAACACCATGTATATATCCCGCCATAACAACGGAATAAATAATTTTCTTGTACACCCTTTTTAAATTCCTACAACAAATAAATTATGATTTTACTTCTGAATAAAGAACCATAATTTTTAACGCGCTTGAAAAAGTCCGTAAAGATGCACTCAAAGATGTTAAGCAATTTTTTTTCGTCGTACGGGCAAGGCCACCCATTGTTTAACTAATTCATTTAATTCACCCAATTATCAAATGCCACTTTACTTATAGTTAAACAGTATTTCTTCATCTATTTCCCATCGAGCAGATACTGTAAGCTATCTGAGGATCTTGTAGTTTGATTCTAGAATATTATGGCCCTCTGAGTAGTTTCAAAAGAAAGCTTAATCCTCTTCATTAGATTATTGGCTTTGCTAAAGAGAGAGCACATATCTCGTGGTTATATCAGTAATAGCGTTGTCTTATTGTGGTGAAGTGGAGTATAAAACGCATTATAATGGAATCACAATCGAGGGCCAAGCAATAAAAACATAAATCGATCAATCCATATATACTAGGTACCGATAGAAAAGTTATTTAATATGAAAGTTTTCGATGAGCTTACTTCCTTCTGAATTATCTTTCACTTGATAGCTTTGGAAGAAGACTCATTCTTAATAGTGATGTAATCTACATTAAAGATAGATCGCTAAGAACACACTTAAGATGATAACAGAGCTACGAAAAAAAAAAAAAAAAAATTGAGGAGTTTTCCGGTTGTTGAATAGCATTGTAATTCCATACTGCATCATTGGCCCTCCAAGGGCAAATTCGTGAGGACAGCATATAGTAAGGAGCCAGAATTTGGGATGGGTTATCGATGTCAAGAATTGGACCCAAGATTAGATGGTGAGAGTGTCAGTTAATCCTCAGAGTTATTAAGCAAAGTAAAATTATGAATTTTCCTGTTCGGTTTAGAATGTTGAGCTTCGCGATAACATAATTCATCCTGGGCCCCTTAGTGAGAGTTTTTCCTTCATCAGGTGAACTAATATGGATGAAAAGTGCAAATAAAATCAATTTGCATCGAGAAATTCCCCCTGATAAACAGGAGCCATATAGCTGTTTTATTCGTTAGAACCTTACACTTAAAAATAGCTTGATGTCATATTCATCATCCTAATTATGTTCTGTTATCAGGCACTCCGGAGTCCAGACCACACGTACAGATACTTCAACTAAATTAGAAGCTTAGTCTCAGTTACGGAGATTAACACAAGGAATCCTTGGTGAAGCACGTTCAAATCTCAGAAATCTCAGCACGCATATATTTTTACTGCCAGTCAATTAATCCATCAAACTTTTTCAATTTCTTTTGGACGTTTTTCTTTGCCCTTTCTATGATGTTGGTAACAAGAACATGTGGAACACCTTAAAAAAAAGAGAATTGTTTTTGTGCTATGTATGTCTATGTATAGTTATTACATTATTTATAGCTCATATTTAACTATTTTTACTGATATTTATTTATAACTCATATTTGAAATATTCATAGCTCAGAATTTCCAAGTTTTTTTTTACAAAAATGTAGGTTTGCCAAATTCTGCCATAACTGACCACTTGATGTACAAAAACGATCTCAAAAATAGAACTAACATTGTTTCGAAATATAAGAATAGATTAAAGTTCACTTGAAAGATTTAACATATCAATTGATTGAGTAGTTCCGCTTTGTGTGATCGTTTGATGCAAAGGGGAAGGCAATAAAATGACGACCTTGACCGCTTAATACAGGATGACTGCTAATATAGGCTTCGTTGTGTGTTCATTGTACCCTCAACCATGAGAGGATTTTTATTTATTCCAAAATTGCCTCTTCTCGTCACTATCGTCTATGGCCAAATTTAATAGTGGTATCACTGAGTATATTTTATAGCTATGGTCTAAAAACGCCAAATTCCACTTCAAAGTCGTTGAAACATTTCCCCATTCCCCTTTTCGAGTTTGAAACTGAGAAAATTGGACTGCCCTTAAAAAAGGTCCACTGAGCTTTAAGGGGAGGATAGAGCTCTACCTTACCTGAGAGGGGAGCCAAGTTGTTTTAACAAAATATTACTAGGGTAGCAGCTCAAAACTTTATCTCAAGTGAATAGGTTGTGAAAAAGATTCTTCTAATTCTTCCTGTTAAATAATCAAATAATCGTATATGCTACATACATGTGTAGCATGATAGTTGAGGCATATTTCTTGGGTCAGCAATGCTGTATAAGACAGGTATACTTTAGTTGCTTCTAGCAATATCAATGTCGCGGCAATCATCATATTCACGATAATACGCACGGAAATCCGGCACGCTCACTAAGGTCTCAAAAATGATATTGAATTTGGATGGAAAATCTAATATTTCCTTGCTCAACAGTAATATAAAAAAAGTTACATCTCAAACGGTTGTAGCAATATCGTTTGAGAAGGTAAACATCAATCAGTAATCCTTTTGATATAAAACGCACGGAAATCCATTACGTTCTCTGAGGTGACAAATGAGATACTCAATGGCTCCTCTAGGTTTAACGGTTTAACATACTTGCAATATCTTACCTTCATTAATCTAATTCATCTAAACTATTTATTATTTATTGAAGAGTTTAGCGCCGAATAAAGAGACGTATTATTTGAATCTGAATAAACACTGCGTAAGAACCCCGTGCTAAGTGCGAACCTACTTTTACAAATTCAAGAGATAATTTTCCAAGCTCTTTTGCACAGCTAAAGATAGTTACCTTATTAGAACTAAGTTTGAGCTCCTGGTAATTTCCCTTATGTCTCTTAGCAGTCTTGTCAGTGGTTCACCCGTGAGACTTACAAAGTCAACTCACTTCCACGTGTTGAATGAAAGCAATTCTGTTACAGAGCATAGCCTGGGACTTGATCCCCCTTTAACAAAGTGCAAACTCCCTACTTTAAAGATTGAACAAGTGCTTTATTGGGGGATCAATACATGTTATAACATAACTAAAGCAAAGCACGCGCTCTGATTGGTTAATTTAGCATCTACTATTTGCCCATGGGTGTATGCCGCTGAAGTGTGTGGTAATGTTTCCAAAGCAAATATTTTGACAGACATTGTTTCTAAAGTAATGGCCGGCGTCCCTTTTACCAGAAATGCGACACTGTCTTCACAGTTGTCTGAAGATGAAACAGACAGTCCATTCTTTGACCTATTTGGGAGCATTTTTCCCGAGCCACCTGCAAAGAGATTCGCAAGTTTAAGCGAAAGCGCACTTGAAGAGGTTGTAAGTAAGCGACACTCAAAAAAGACGAAAGAAGTCACAGTTATTAAGCTTAGTTGAAATGTATTAATAGGCTTTACGAAAAAGAGAAAACAAAATAAATATCTGAGGACTTATTAAATATTTAGAAATTGTTCCTGTGTAAACTCAATTAAATGCTAACGCGTAGACAATGTGGACGAAATTACATTTTCAATTTAGTTTGCTGTTTTCGCGATTTTAAAAGCGTTCACTCTGATAACAGATGAAAATAAATTAAAAAGTTAAGTTCCATTTCAAACCAAATATTTATATTCCATTTATTTTTGTTATTTTCAGCTTGGTGTGCAGAAAAAAAAAAAAATTCAAACTCCG